TGCTTGCCTCTGACCTACGATTAAAGGCCTAGAACACTAGCTCTAGTGTTTTTTGAGGGGTAAGAAAGGTAAATACATAGGTTTAATTTATTATCTTTTTTGACTTTCAAAATTTTTTTTTTATTTTTTAAAATTAATTAATTTATTCATTTATTATGTCTTTTTGAGACAGCATTTTCCTGTAGCCCCAGCTGCCCTGAACTCAAGATGCAGACCAGGCTGGCCTTGAACTCACAGAGATCCGCCTGCCTCCACCCCCCGAGTGCTAGGATTAATGATGTGTGCCACCATGCCCAGCTCTTATTATTTTTAAGTATATGAGTGTATTGCCTGCATGTATGTCCGTGCACCCATGTTGTGGCGGTCAGAAGATCCCCTGGAACTGGAGTTACAAACACGGTTGTTAGCCACCATGTGGGTGCTCGGATTCAACCTGGGTCTTCTTCTGCAAGAGCAGTCAGTGCTCTTAACCACTGAGCCATCTCTCCAACCCTTCAATTTATTATCTTTAATAATGTTTTGAAACAACTTGGTTCTAATATATAAGAACCAGTCCCTGAATGTGGTGAAATCAAAGAGTGGCAGGCAGATCTACAGTTGCAGAGTACTATTTATTGGGAAATTTACTTACAGAAGTATGGTCTGGATGTTAGCAAAGAGCAGTAGAATCCCTAAAATTTAGGTTAGAAAAAGGGGCATATCTATGGTTTAGGACAAAAGTGATTTCTTCCTGGCTAGCATGTACTGTCTTTGTCTTAATTTCAAAGAGTCAGGTGTATCTCAGGAGTCGGGGTCCAGCTTTAGTGTTCCATCTGTGATTCTAATTGTTTTATTGGAGGTTTTTTGTTGTTATTGTTTGAAACTGCAGGAAAAATCAACTATTATTACTCTGTTACAATCATGGTGATTCTAGTCATGTCAAGAGAATTCATATGAACAGAATAAATAAAATAAAAAAAATAGGCCAGCAAGATGGCTCAGTAGGTAAAAGCATGTAATGCCCACTCTTGACCCTGAGTTGAATTCCTGGAACCCACATGGTAGAAATAAAGAACAGACTTTTTCTGGTTATTCTCTGATCTCCACATGTGTAACACATATAAATAGATACACAATAAATAAATGTAACAAAAATTTAAATAAGATTGATAAAACTAACAGTTAATGTGATTCAAATTTATCTAGGGTTATATTAGCATATTTCTATCTCTTACTTTAACCATTGATATAATGGAGAGCTGGAAAGTATAAATTGTCAATAATCTACTTTATAAAGTCAACTTGATAATTATCCAGATTTTTAAAAGCAATTACTAATCTATACTTTCATATGTCTATCCACATGTAGATACTCACTTAAAACTTAAAATAAGTATTTGAAGAAAAGTATTCTTTGCAAATAAAACATTTGGTTTTCTAATTTACAGGTACAACAAAAGTTCTACAGAGACACAGATTATCAGGAAATTGCAACATGGTTACATTTCAACTGGAATTTCAGGTTCTAGAAATTCAGGTAACTTGAGAAATACTTTATAAGAACAGGTGTTTTTCCTATGAAACAGTTTCTATACTTAGCTGCTAGCAGTAACTGAGCTGAAGAGGATATACATAAGCCAGGGCTCTCTTATAGTACATTTGTGTACCATGCATAAAAATTTAAGAGTAAATATCCCATCAAGTTCATATGATAGAATT